ACATTCAGGTCTTTAATCCATTTTTCATTAATTTTTGTTGGTAGGGTAAAGTAAGAGTCCAGCTTTATTCTTTTGCATGTGGATATCCAGTTTCCCAGAACCACTTGTCGAAAAGACTGTCCTGTTGCCCAGTGAATGGTCTCGGGACCTTTGTTAAAAATCAGTCCAGCATGTGTGAGGGTTTATTTCTGGGCTCTCTGTTCTGTTCCATTAGTCTATGTCTGTCCTTATGCCAATATCACACTGTCTTGATTACCATAGTCTTGTAGTAAGTTCTGAAATCAAGAAATGTGAGTCCTCCAACTTTGCTTTTCTTTTTCAAGATGTTTTTGGCTATTTGGGGTCCTGTGAGAATCCTTATGAATTTTAGAAACATTATATTGATTTCTGCAAAAAATGCCAGTGGATCTTTGATAGGGATTACATAGAATCTGTAAATTGCTTTGGGTAGTATTAATCATCTTAACAGTATTAAATATTTCAACCCATGAATACATAATGTTTGCCTTATAGCTTATTTATGTTCTTATAGCAACATTTGGTAATTGGTGCACAAGTCGTTTGCTGCCTTGGTTAAATTTATTCTTAATTATTATTTTTGATGCTATTTTGAATGGAGTTGTTTTCTTAATTTCCTTTTCAGATTTTTCATTGTTAGTATTTGGAAACACACCTGATTTTTGCATATTGACTTTTGTATCCTATAGATTTGATGAATTTATTTATTAAGCTCTAGGGTGTGTGTGTGTGTGTTTGTAAATTTTAGGGTTTTCTACAGGTAAGATCATGTCATCTGTGAACAGAGATAACTTGAGTTCTTCTTTTCCCATTTGGATGTTGTTTATTTCTTTTTCTTGCTTGATTCCTCTGGCCAGAACTTCCTGTATTTTGTTCAGTAGAAGTGGTGAAAGGATCATCCTCACCTTCCTTGTTTGTGATCTTAGAGGGAAAAGCTTTCCATCTCTCATCATTGAATGTGATGTTAGCTTTGGGTTTGATATATCTTATTAGAGACCAATTAATCCAAACCTTTTGCTGTGTCTAACTATAGTTTTCTTTTCCCAAAGAACCTACTCAACAGGGCTTATGGAATATGGATTTTTCTGGCTGGGAAGCAATCACATCTGGCAAATATTGGGTCGGCCAAAAAGTTCGTTTGGGTGTTTCTGTAGCTGCAGGAAAAACCCGAACGAACTTATTGGCCCACCCAGTACTTTCAAAGGTGATATTTAGGTGATAAAACTGGCACATTTAAATATTTTCGGCAGTCTTAACCCCCATTAAATATGCAGCTCTCAGGGGAAAATAAACAGTATGTCTCCATATATCGCCTACGTCCAGGAGTTCCTGAGGGCGTGCGAGATAGGGCAAGCAGGATGCACGGGTGAGTGGGGGACAGGGCAGTGACAGCAGGGGAGGTGGGGACGTGGGACGGCCTGATGGGAGGGGCACTGAGAGGGTCCTGAGGGGCCAGGAGGGCTGTCCTCTGTGCAGTAAGGAGGGGCCTGGAGCACACTGACCCCTCCCCTAGGCCATTGGGAGTGAGGTGAAGGGGAGAAAAACAGCGCCCCCAGGAAAGCGTGGCTGCAGTGAGGGTGGAAGGCAGGAGGCGTGTTTGTTGAAAGGGCTGGGGGGTGGCGAGGACGTGGCGGGTGTCGGGCAGTGGCCCATAGAGTTGTGAGACCCACGCGGCCGTGTGTTTGCGGTGGAGAGGCCTACGGGGGCATCGTGGCGTGATCCTGGGATCTTACAGCTAGTGGTTGGGGTGTTATGTGTGTGTGTATTCGGAGATTTATTTTAAGGAATCGGCTCCAGTGAGGGTGAGGCCGGCAAGTCTGGGATCCGTGGGGCAGGAGTTTGCTGCAGCCTCGAGGCCAGATTCCTTCTTGCCCAGGAAACCTCCATCTTTGCTCTTAAGGCCTCCAGCTGATGGCACGAGGCCCACCCCCACCGTGGAGGGCACTGGCTTCAAGTCCAGTGTCTGCAGATGTTTCCACTTCTACAGAACGCCTTCGGAGCAATCCCGCACTGGTGTCTGGTTAAAGGGCTGGGTGGTAGAGTGTGCACAGACGGACACAGGAGACTAAACTGCCACGGGGGCGAGTGGCCTCAGGGCTGGAGGAACCTGAAGGCCTGGGGGCTGCCGGTCCTGCGGAGGCTGCAGGGAGGCCACCAGCCTCACCCGTCCTGCCGTGGGGACAAAGCACCTCCACCATCTTGTTACCGTTGCAAGGTCTCTCCAGCCCAGCGGCCTCTCGAGGGCCATCCTTGTGTTTCTCTGCGGGTGACTTAAAGAGTCCCAGAGACCTCGCAGAAGACATAACTGGGTGACAGTAAATGCTTCTGCTCCTTTTAGCTGTGAGAACAGTTTGGTAGTGTTTTAATAATTTGGAGTCTGTATTAGTTTTCTAGGGCCCCCATAATAAAGTATCATAGGCTGGGCGGCTTAAACAACAGAAATTTATTTTCCCATAGCCCTGGAGGCCAGAAGTCTGAGGTCAAGGTGTGGGCAGGGCTGGTCCCTCCTGAGGCCTCTCTCCTGGGCGTGTGGATGGCCTCACGTGGTCACCCCTCTGTGTGTGTCTGTGTCCTCATCTCTTACGTTCGATCAGGACCCATGGTGATGTCTCATTTTACCTCGATTACTGCTTTGAAGACCCTACCTTCAAATATGGCCACATTCTGAGGTCCTGGAGGTTAGGGCTTCAACATATGAGTTTGGGGCCGGGTGAAGGGGACACAGTTCAGCCCATAACTGGATCTGACCTTGATTATTTTTGCAGTCATGTTTGGTGGAATTAGTATCCCTAATTTTGTGCCCTACCTAAGTCTTTCAGTTTTCCTCTGGGAAGCTTCTGTGAGTCTTTTATTTCTCAGTTCTAGAAAACTGAGCCTGTGATGTGAGTTGAGGGAGAAATCTGAAATGTGAGGAGCCCTGTCCCGTGATGATTTCTGGTCTTTCCCGGTCCTCTGCGTCCTGCGTGTCACATTGTGCCATTGTGCTTTAGCTCATCCTCTCTGTGGGCTGTTTGCGGTGCTTCTGGAATTTCTCTCCCGTGGATTTAGTTCCCTGCAGTGTTGGTTCTGCTGGAACCAGTATCGGCTCGTCTTGTCCTGAGCAGGTCCTTGTCTGTAGTGTTTCTTCCAGTCCCTTTTTTCCTGGGTTTTCTATTCTTTCATTGAGAGAAGCGAACCATTTTCTCAATTTTTCTTATTTTTCTTATAGTAAAGCTACTTCAGGGAAAGAAGCCTTTACAGGCCCCGGAGGGTAAGATTGGGAAACACCTTCTCAGCTCTGTTTCCCGGTTCACGCATCATCGAGGCTCTGGTTACTGTTCACTGAAACGCAGCCTCAGGGGTGATCCGTCCCCTTGGAGGGGACACTGGACACCTGCCTGTCCCCGTAGGGGCGGAGGGTGTCCTTCCAGGTAGCCCTGGACGTGGCAGGTGGCCCTTGTTGCTGTCTGGTTTTCTCCCCTCTGACAGGGTGATGGCTGAGGGCCCCCTGAGCCCCCTTTGTGAACCCTGCCTGCGTGGACACAGGCCCTGAAGAGCCAGGCAGTATCTCTCCGCCGGTGCTTCCTGAGAGTGAGGCTGGGGGCTGCCATGGAGAGAGTTCTGTTACCAGGGAGCACAGGGTTCATCTGTGGGGAGTGAGACCAAGAAGGGGCATCTGCAGCTCAGTGTGGCAGGTGGAAGGACGGGTGTGAGCCTAGAGTGGACACTGACTGAGCTATCGTGGGTGGTGGTGATTGGTGAGGGGCAATTCAGGGGGGCTTCCTGGAGGAGGCGATCCTTGAGCTCAGTCCTACAGGGTAGCAGGACTTAGCTGCTGATGGAGTTGAGAACAAAGCCTATGGGTACAGAGGCTGGAGAAAGCCTCGCATGCTCAGGAGTTATGAATTGCTCAGGGCCGAGGGTCCAGGATGCCTCTGGGGTGGATTATGACAGAGAATGTTAATGGTTGTTGCCACTGTTCCTGAAAATGTTCTTAATTCCGGTGGTTTCTGAGAGAGAGGAATGGTGTGTGTGTGTGTGTGTGTGTGTGTGTGTGTGTGTGTATGTAGCAGACGAGGGGGCTCTTCATGACCACAGCACTGGTTCCTTTCTCTGCCTGGAATCCGCCCCGCTGCGGTCCAGAGTGTGACTGCTAACAGTCTCCTGTCCTTGTGGAAAGACATCTCTTGGAGAAGGTCACATCATAGGCGGTCTCTTGTCTGTGTCAGGCGTGGCGTTTTTTGTGTCCAGAAACAAAGGGGTGATGGGTCCCCAGTCTGACCAGGGTGCTGTGCTGCCCACCCCTGCCCCCGTCCTCTGCATTTTGCGGGAGGTGGGGTTTGTTGGGGTCGGCTCCGAAACTCTCACTGACTGTCTCGTACAGACCAGGTGTGTGGTTGTACCCCAGGAGATTCAGGAGGAAGACAGGATCTCCCTTCCCTGCCTGTCGGGGGCTCCTTGCAGGAGCCGAGTGTGCATCTTCATGGAGCTGATGTCTCTCCAGCCCTCCTGGGAGTGGCGGCAGGTCTTAAGGTCCATTCCAGAGGCCCCGCCCATGAGTGTTGTTCTCAGCATGGCGCCTGCAGGGAGCACCTGGACTCTGTAGGTGGTGGTGCGACGCCCACTGACAGTGGTTCCTTCTAGGCTGTGGCTGGTGGAGGCAGCATTTACACTGGTGGTGCTCAGAGGACGCCGGCAACACCCCACCACCCCGCAGTGCTTCTTTGGACTCAGGCGGTCTGTGTTGCCCAAAGTCTCAGAAAGTCTTCAGGATGTTAATAACTGTGGATGGCCGTCCCCCTCACCCCTCTGAGTGCCTCTGCCCCATGGGCCCCGTGACCACAGGTGGCTGCTCGAGGTTCTGGAGTTGGTGTCAGCCCCCTGGCGCCCCCAAAATCCGAGTGGTGTCCGGCGTCACCTGTGCAGGCTCATTGCCCGTGAGCTGCCGGTGAGCGGTGGGCTTTCCCTCTGGCCGGGCTTCTCACGGTCTGTCTTCATTCCAGGTGCCGCGGCCCAGTCCACGCGATTTGAAGACGGCAGGAAGGAACCGATGGCTTTAGCGGGCGGCCCAGATTCCTTTCTGCACCATCCATACTACCAGGTATGAGTGAGTGTGGCAGCGGATTCTGGCAGTGGTCTGGCCCAGGGCCAGGGCAGAAATGTAGCTCATAACCTGACCATCCATCACTAGCAGGTCAAGGAGGAAGTGCTGAGTGGGGCTGTGGATGCGTCCTTCAGCGCAAAGACCAGGCACTTTCACATGGCCTTCCTTGCTTTGCTTGGAAGAGCTCATCATCACTGTGACCGCAGCATCCTTTTCTACAAGATTTGCATTGTAGTGCACACTTCCCTGCAATGAAGCGTGCCCTGTGTTGTCTCCCACTGGGCCCTGAAACTCCAGATGGTGAGTGGGAAGGGTGGCGAATGTTGGGATTTCAAGCAGAGGCGTGAGCTTCTGGGACGAGGAAGTAGGAAGGAGAAGGTCCTCAGCCCAGCAGTGACCTGCCTGTCACAGGTGGAGCCCTTCCCACCCCGATAGCATCAGGAAGGCTTTGTGGGACCGCAGGTTCACCTCCAGCCCTTCTGCGTGGGCCGTTGGACGAGTTTCATCTGTAAGTGTCCTTTATCTCCTGTGGCAGGTTTTCGTTTGAACTTTTGCTTTATGGCATAGACAGATACGTTTGATCCTTAGATCTTTGGATTTGACAAGTGAATCTTGGTCTCTCCTGAGCCCTGCAGCATGTGAAGCACTCACTTGTGCCACCTCTCTCTCGGCCTCTGTTTTTCCAGCAGGAGTCTTACGTTTTGAAGTCCCTTGATGTGATATTTGCGCTCCTCTGAGCTTGCTTTTCTCTCCTTCATCTGTGAAGTCTGTGCTTAGCTGCAGTGATGATAATTTGCCCATAGCATAGGGGCTGCAGAGAGGTGTATTTTTAATTTTTTTGGTGTCAGAGAGAAAGAGGTCTTGGAAGAAAGACTGGAGATTAGGAGTAGCATTCACTGTGATTTCTGGATTTGAGACAAAGCCACAGTCAGTTTCAAGCGAGACAAGGGGGCTGAAACCTTCGCAGAGCCATGAAGTTTGCTGGGGGCCCCCAGCCTGTCCAGTGGGTGAGCGTTCTCCAGGTCCTGCCCTCTGCCTCCTGTGTGATCATTCTCTGGGTCTTATAGAGGCCGTGGTTGCTTCACCCTGTCGATCGAAACTCCGTGATGCCACTATGGGTCATGGGTTCAGCTCTCACTTGACCGCTTAGCTTTGGCTGGTTGTCACCCCAGCCTGCCAGGCTCACACTTGGCACCAGCGCTCCCAGGGAAATGGGATCAGTGAACTGCAGGGAAAACCTTCCCTGGGGAATTGTGTCTGCAAGTTAGCTGAGCAACGTCCTCTTTGCTGGTCACAGAGTGAACCGTAAGGGCCAGATGGGACGTAGGGAAGGTTCCACCCCAAGGCCCTCTTAGCTCAACCCACTGGCATCTCAGATTTCTTCTGGTCCGGGCAGGGATGGCAGGAGTGCCAGCTGTAGCCAGTGCCTGGCTTCGCGGACGTGTTAGGTGTTTGTAGTCACCGTCCCAGTTGCCCAAGGCTCTTCCCAGGAGCCAGGAGGCCGCAGACACACGGTGGGCCCTGCCAGCGGAGCCTGTCACCCCAGGAGGAAGGGCTCTGTCATGCCGTGCCGCGGCTTTTGCAGGCACTGTTGCACTCCTGCGAGAGTCCAGCAGGCGGGCTTGGCAGCTCTTACCCTCTGTTCCTGGAAAAATCAGCCGACAGTTCCAGAATTTCTCAGAACATGGGATGATTTACAATGCGTTCGGTCTTGAGTAATCTGCAGTTACAGCAAATAGATACATCTCCAAGTTTTTAGTGAGAAGAATTTCTTTGTAAGATCGTCAGCGTACAAATAATGTTCTCATTCTAGCTGCTCACTCATCGCTGTGGCTTGGATTAGGGTTCAGTCAATGAGTCGCTGCTCAGTCGAGTTTGTTCTGGACTTAGAAGCACCAGAAGGATTTTGTGCATTTAATCACCCTGCTTCCTGCTTCAGGGACAGAGGCAGCAGGTTGGTGGGGGGCGTGGGATGGGGGGCTGGTGGAGGCGGGGTGAACTACGTCACTGTTTGACTTAGGCTGTTCCTTTAAACTGTGATATTGTCATGGTTCTGTGGCCTCGGGGTAAACCATGGGATGCCTCAGTGCCCCTGCTGGTGAACAAGGGTGCGTGGTGTTGTCAGGGTGCCGTGGGGATTGGGAGAAGGGTGTGGAAGTTACCCGGCACCGGGCCAGCCTGGTCTCAATCGCCCACCCAGAGTCGTTCCCTGTAATTCCTGGTTTTTTTTGTTGTTTGTTTGTTTTGTTTTGTTTTGTTTTGTTCTTTGGCTGTGCGGTGCAGCTTGTGGGATCTTAGTTCTCCGACCAGGGATCGAACCCGGGCCCTCAGCAGTGAAAGTGCGGAGTCCTAACCGCTGGACTGCCAGAGAGTTCCTCCCTAATTCCTTGGATGTTGATTGAACACCAGACAGGTGCCACCTGCAGTGTGAGCGCTGGGTGGCACCTCTTCTCCAGCAGCTGCTTTCCTGGGTCTCCTGACTCCTAGTCGGGGAGAGGGTCATGTGGAAACTGGCAAATGAGATAATTGTGAGTGATGACCATGATTGTCAAGCAAAGAAAATCTGACAGTGGGAGAGAGAGAGGCCAGGAAGTGAGCGAGACCCCCCTGGAGGGAGTGCCCAGAGCTGGGGGGCAGCACCCGGGCCGGGCTGGGGCAGAGCCTTTCCAGGGGCCAGAGGCCAGCACACCTGGCCTAAAGAGCCAGGGGGAGGGGTCTGGATTTCAGTCACTTAGGAAGGAGAGGTCTTTGGAGATTTATAAATAGAGGCCTACAGCCCACTGTCTGCAGTTCTAAAATCCCCAAAGCTATGAACCAAGAAGTTTCTTCATGGCTCACATCTTGCAGAATCTGACTCGACCTGTCGGAACTGGGTCCCTCAAGTACACGGCGTGGGGGCTCGGTGACCAGGCCGCCCTGCACCCTGGGTCATCTTTCTCAAGTCCAGAAAATTTTTATTTCCTAGCCATATCCTCCAGGGTTCTGGTTATGTACCTATTATGAGGTACATTTTGTTTCTTTATTATACATAAAATAACATTCGCTATCCTTCAGAAACACATACACACACACACACACACACACACACACACACACACACACAGAAAATAAAAATGAGTTCAGGTACAGACATTTGAGTAAAGTGTTGAACTGTGATGTAGAAACGAGATGCTTGAATGTACGTTTGAGATTCAAACCTGTAGGTTTGAAATTTGAGATAGGTTGTTAAGGTTCCTGTCAGTCCTTAAATATCTTGGGGGAGAAGGTGTCCGAGATCCCACTGACAAGAGACAGTGGGTCTGAGATCCTGCACGGCCCCTCATGGCGTATGGAGAGGAGACGGCCCTCGGTGACAGCCTGCACACCCAGCCTTTTCAGGCCTAGCCACCCCAAGAGAAGGCTGCTGTCCTGGCCTTCCTTGTGCATGAGTGCAGTGGCTCCACCCTCGGCATCGGTGAGATTGACAAGAGTCTGGAGAGTATGTCCCGCTACAGGAAAAACAAGTGGATTGTTGAAGGCTGGCTCCGAAGACTGAAAACTGCTCTGGCCAAGTGAACCAGGCGACCTAAGGTAGAGCTCCCAGGCCAGAGGAAGGCCTGGGGCGGAGGCGTGGCCTTCCTCGGATCCTGGAGGAGACCAGTGGCGTGGAAGAGGAGGAAAAGGAGGAGGGGACTGCAGCTGCCGTCCGTGGCCACAGGGGTTGAAGTGATGGAGAGGTTGATATCACGGTTTCTAGCATCCCAGAGCTGGAGCGCCAGGAAGGAAAACTCAGAGCGACAACTCTTCTCTCGCACGAAGCGGCTTCGCTCGTCCCAGATGCTTCGGGCAGGCTCCCTGGGTTAGGACCGCTGCAGACGCCGATCCTGGGTGTCACGCTTTGTGGAAGCGTGGTATCTTTGTGGAAGGAACCGAGGGGAGCTTAGTTCCTGAGGATGTGATAACGCAGGAAACGGATTCCTTGAAAGTGGCAACACCCAGCCCAGCCTCCTTCCCTCTGAAGGGTGCGTTAGCTGGCTCCAGCACCTTTGCCACTTCTCTTACCCAGGCCTGAGGCCAACCTCGGAAAACTAAGCCTGGGTCTATGCAGTCTAGGCATCTGGAATCTCCTGTCAAGGGTCAAGGTTCAGAACAGCCTCAGGCCCATCCTCATCTTCAGGCTCATGAATGCAGTTTTTTGTGAATTTAAATTTATTTCTACCTATATTTTTAGGACCAGCCTCATTTTTAATAAGGTTAAAAAAAAGGGAAAAAAAAGTCTGCAGAAAAAAACTCCTGTTTTTGCCATGTGAAGTTCCACAAGTGCAGCTACAGAAAAGTGCTTGTCAGTTGAATAAAAACCACATTTGATAGAGGGAAAAAAAAGGTTACTGGCACATCTTCAGATATTTAATCCAAATATTTATTTCTACTTTTATAATTTATTTTCCTGATTTCTGATTTGAAAACGCATCCGCTTGTATCACAAGTCAAACGTCGTGGAAACTGTCCTCGTGATCCTGCCCTTCTGCAACTCCGTTAGCCAGTACAGGGTGAAACAGCAGCCTTCCTGCGATAGCCCCTCTTCCCCTACATCCCCATCGGTAATTTCATAAATTCTGTCTCAGCCCCACGTCTCTGCAGGTTGCTTCCTTTGGCCCCATTTCAGTTGTGCATTCCTGAGCCTTCAGACCAGGAGCCTTCCCTTGCTGGGCAGGGGTTGGCAAACTACAGCCTGTGGGCCAAATCCGGCCCCTGCCTGCTTTTGTAAATAAAGTTTTATTGGAACACAGCCATGTTCCTTCAGTTAACATCCCGTCTGTGGCTGCTTTGGGGCCTCACCAGCAGAGTTGAGTAGCGGCTGGCCCTCTGCAGACCACCTCCTGCTTTGGGACATCTGTTAGTGCAGTGAGTCTTCTGGGTGGACAGAGGCCCAAGTGGGCCTCCTTGTGTCCGCCTCTCTCCTCCCTCATCGTGGGGACAGCAGGGACAAGACCCAGCCCACCCATGAGACCTCGATT